TGGAAGAAACTTTACACTGAACACTTGAGATGAGCTGCTTTGTGTTCCACAGGGGCYGAAAATTAGCCAATTCATAGCATAATGCAATCAAATGTACATATGTTTGGACCAAAACAAATCTTCTTTTAAATATCTTGATTTCACATAAAAACTTACGGGCAAAATGCTACATAAATCTTTGATTAAAGCTCAATATTTACCTGCCCTTGAGTGTTTATGTTTAAGAACTTTTTTAAGTTTATGCTCCTCTTGTTATATAAGATGAACTTTGAAGTAGTCTGCTGTCAGAACAAAACAGCTCAGYTATTGACTATGAAACATCAATCCCTTGTATGTAATTTTTATARCGCACTTACAGACCAGGTTGTGCAATTAGGCCGAGCTTAACAATTGATCTGTGTATCGATTCTATTCGATTTACCTGTGGACACAAGAACAAGACAACAGGAAGGAGAGAAAAACAACTTGTTTTCTCATTTCACGTCTATGTAGGACTGTATGTGGATCAAGAATAAAGAAGGAACAAACAAAAACCAATATGACCCTGGCTTTGTCTAGGTGTCTCCATGGAGACAAGGTCTCACTATAAAGCATTCCAGTGGGATATATGGACAGACAAGTCCTGTTGAAAACATGATTAACAAGTCGGTGGGAAAGTAAGACACAAGTTTCTCTTACAATATGAGCAGGTAAAACATGATTCTTAAGGGCTCGACACACGGGAGGCGACGTCGCTCGCTCTCCATTCATTTCCTATGGAGCCTGTGCGGTGAGGCGATAATCGCTTGCCCTCCTCCAGCTAAGCGACCGGCGAAAATAGTGCATGTGAAATTTRGCGCTCGTACACGTAGACGTGCACACGCGAGCTTGCGACGCGAAATTTGAAAGTTGAAAAATGTTCAACTTTTGTCGCTGTCGCTTAGTGTACAACCAATCAGCGAGGGTTTCATTGACTGACCAATGAGAAGAGAGTATGCTACACACTGCCGTTAGCTAACACTTTCACCAAGTGATTACTAAAAAGCTTTGTGGGAATTTATTGGCACCAGGGTGAAGTTTATGGTAAGTTTTTCCTCATATTGTATCTTGGTGTGTGTTTGTTTTTCAATATCATTAGCACCGCAAGATTTGTTTAGTTTACACGTCCGTAATGCACACCCGTCTTCAGAGTCAAGAACCAATCAAATTTTGTGAAGACAAGCGACCTGAGAGTGCGATTCGCAACGCTGCGATCGCTATCYTGTCCCGTGTGCAGGGGTTTCACCCTGGCTGRGATGACAGCCGTTAATCGCTGGGAATGTAGGTGCTGGGTATTGGGAAACATTGGTACCACGGAACATAGGTGCTGGGAAACATAGGTATTGGGAAGCATTGGTACCAGGGAACATAGGTACTGGGTATTGGGAAACATTGGTACCAGGGAACATAGGTGCTGGGTATTGGGAAACATTGGTACCAGGGAACATAGGTCCTGGGAAACATACATGTAGGTATTGGGAAACATTGATACCAGGGAACATAGGTCCTGGGAAACATAGGTATTGGGAAACATTGGTACCAAGGAACATAGGTGTTGGGTATTGGGAAACATTGGTACCAGGGAACATAGGTGCTGGGAAACATAGGTATTGGGAAGCATTGGTACCAGGGAAAATAGGTACTGGGTATTAGGAAACATTGGTACCAGGGAACATAGGTACTGGGAAACACAGGTATGAGGAAACATACTGTAGGTCAGAGTTGCCCAAAGTGGGATCCAAAGGCCAAAATTGGCCCACCAAGCCATTTGATTTGTCCTGCTAGCAGTTGTCCTAGTTACTAGGTCATAATCTCCTGTTGTCCTATGTAGAAACACTGTATTCCCACTTATAGCCATTCCATTTATTGGCCTTATGAATAAATAAGGGGCTGTAGTGCAATTAGTCGTTACTTGTGCTGACTTTGTCTTTGAATTATATTAAAATCAAACATGAAATACAAATAACTACAATAGACATTTAGGTTAGATTTAAGCACATATGTAGATTTGCACATTCTTTAAGACCAGAAATACTCGTATTTTCAATTTATGAAATCTCCCAGCCTTTGCTGCCAGAGCTTACGTCAAACTTTCTTCAAGTACACAGGCATAAACAAACAAACAAACAAACAAACAAAAAAACTGCACTGGCTGTAAAGAATATAGGGATTATGCCTAAATGGTATTTGCATTTCATGTATTATATTACTGCATTTGCCACACAGCCCACAGATTTTGGCCTTTTCACAGAAAAAGTTTGGGCACCCCTGCTACTGGGAAAAGTAGGTACCAGAAAACACAGGTACCAGGGAACAGAGGTACGTTCCTGTTATAATTGTAATCAGAAAAAAAAATCAGGAACTTATTTTGTTGTGAAGTAATGATAAATAAAAGC